TTAAGAAATTAACCTCTAAGCTAAGTAAAAAGAATAAATATCACTAATTCTATGGTATCCATATATTTTTCCCCTTTTACTAAATGATTTAATCTACAATAAAATGTGAAGATTTGTCTTGAAATTTTAAAGTTGTAGAAACATAATTGTTGGGTGTGGATATTACTAAATCAAAATAGCTAGTTAGGAGAAAAAATAAGGGGGCAGAGATCCCTACACTATATGACTTAATTTTACTCCCCCCTCAATCCAAAAACAAGCACATATGTCTCACCATGAAACTGGCAACTGGAAGGAGGAAGGAAAAACTCAGTTATCATTGGATGAGCTAATTCACTGGGAATTCTTTGGGACGCCTGTCCTATTGGCTTGTTATTGGTCCTTCCTCTTGTAATATTTATTGTCAGGGCCTGTGATAGTGATACAGAGGGCTCAGTTTGAAATTTCAGCTTTTACATAGGGCAGGAGGGGCAAGATTCATTTCTATGTGACTAAATGCTTCTTTAAACTATTGAACTATACTGAAAATCCAGGGTGGGCTTTTGACTGTAATTAGCAGATTTTGAAAGATCTTTGTGCTAAGTTGAAAGGAAGTCCGCTCTGTGATGTTAAATCATCAGAGCTAAGGATTTACTAGACCAGAATTTTGTGCTATCAAGTTGATGACTGGGCTTGAAGTTTTAGAGGGTGATCGGTAGCTCCGGGTTGCTGAAGAAATAATTTAGCTTTTTCATAAGAATTAGTAAGGGTTAAGCTGGTGTGGTGGTGTGTGCCTGTAATCCCAGCTAGTAGGGAGGTAGAGGCAGAAGTTCAAAGCCAGCCTGGGAAAAGTTAGCGAGACCTTATCTCAAAAACAAAATAAAAACAAAGACTAAGGGTGTGGGAAAGACTAGGTAGTGTGCTTGCCTATCATGCGAAAGGCTCTGAGTTCAATCCCTAGCACTACAAAAAAATCAATAAGGTTTCATCAAGTCATAGGTACTTAGAAATTTAAGATTGGGAGCAGTTGGCTGAGGAAGAGCCACATATGTCATTAGGTTTGTTAAAACCACTCTGAGACTTCTGCACAGAGCACATTGTTAATCTCTTTTAGCCCTTGCTTCCCCCAGCTACTTATATTTTCAGATCTCCATTTACATGTGCATAGTTTTCTTCCTCAAATGAGAGACCACTATTTTAGGAATTGTTTGTTGAAGAAAGATATATATCTATTTCTGGCCTTCCCAAAGTCATTTGTGACCTCATAGAGATGTTGATTAGAGCCTTTATATGCTAAGGCCAAGGGTTGCCTTTTCATGGGCCTCTTCCTGAGGTCTGGATTATTGTCCTTAAGTACCTGTGTGTAGTTTTCACACGTGATTGTAGTACATGACTGTAGTAGCTGACACCAGGTGTGACATTGCAGAGCCATCCGTGGTCCATGCCTAGAAACACACCTATGCTATCCACATCAGTAAGATCAACTTCAAAACCTCTGCATATGTATCTGTTGTAAAAGGATAAGTGTGAGTGGATTTTTTTTTTTTTCTTGCAGTAATGAAAGTGCTTAACTTGGGAAGCTGACTGCCTAGCAAGCATGAGACCCTGAGTTCAAACACCAAAAAAACCTTGGGAAGCTGAGATCAGGAGGATTATGGTTCGAGGCCAGCCCAGGCAAATAGTTTGTGAGACCCCTACTCCCATCTCCAAAACAGAGCAAAATGGGCTAGAGGTGTGGCTCAAGCAGATCACTGGCTTTGCAAGCATGAAGCCCTGAGTTCAAACCCCATTTCCACCAAAAAAAAAAAGTGCCTTGTAAAAATGAGAGTAAGGTTACCATAAGCATTTCACATTAGGTGCTTGTCTTTTTAATTTTTTAAAGGAAAAGTTGTAAAACTTTAAAAATATGTAGATATCAAATTATAGTATTAGTATCAGACACAAATACAATTTTTTCCTTCTCTTGCTTCCATACTACTCTCATGTATCTGTATTTTATGAAAACATGACATTATCTTTTTCTTTATCTGCTAACCTCTCTGATACACTTGCTAGCACTTAAATGCTTGCTTAATAATGACTCACTACGGTGACCCAGTATGTTGGTTCCCATCCTATTATACTTCTACAAAAGTACTTTCGTGTCACAGCTTTTGTAGTCAATATTTTACCCGGCCGTATGTAGTTGAGATTGTTTGCAAAGGATGTTGAGTAACCTGTCACTTCTGAGAAGTTTCTGACGTATGCTTTTCAATTGTTCAAAAGCAAATGAATGCATGATAAGTAGCATCTTTGTCTTATTTCGCCAGAGCAACATAGAAAAGCTATCTACACATAAAATACCTCCCATCTGTAATAGGAAAGAAGCAGTACAAATCTGATCTTACCTGATTAAAATGATGAATTTCTGTAAGCTGTTCTGCTTTCTGTGCAACCTGGAGTGAGCTACATTTGATTTTATATTGAAGAGGTGATCATCTACGTCTATGTTTAGAGTAACTTAATTGGCTTGTTTAGTCACTTTTGTTTTTATGCTATTTTTTTCTTTAGAAATTTCATCATAGTTATAATACCAGAAAAGAAGAATTTAAAAATAAAAGGTCACCCACAATACTATCACACACATACCCCTCAAAATCTCTCTTGGTTTTCCTTGCTTCCTTCCAGATCCTGTCTCTGTAAATATACATGGCTGTAAAATTTGTGTCTTAGTCACAAGAGTCAAGGTTAACCAGGTACTCACTCCATCATTTTAAATAACAAATGAATATGCCTCATTTTGCTTCCTGTTGTTTGTACTCCTACTAAAGCTACAGATATGACAGGTCCCGTTTTCACATGATCGTAAATCATTAGTGAAACTCAGTGTGTCATTTCCGAGCACTTCTCAGTTGGCAGTGGTCCCTAATGCTTGATCTTTGAACGTGTCTGTTTGTAAAAAACACCTAAATGTTATGGAACTTCAGCATTTAATAAACACCCTCTTCTATAGCTCCCTCCCCCCTCCATTGACATTTACAGATAGCTTCTCCCTGGGATGGGTCCTGGATCAAGTGATAGAGTACTTGTCTAGCAGGCATGAAGCCCTGAATTCAATCCCCAGTACTAATAAAAACCATTTTTTAAAATCTCTTACTTTTTAAGCAGAATACTTCCCCACCTAATCTAAATATGTGATAGGGAGAATAGCTACTTAAGGATTAGCTAGTGGTAGATATTGATAAATATTTGGTTTTTAGAAGTGTTGGTAGGTTTTGACTTTGGAAGCCTGAATACAGTATTGGCAAAATTGGAGATGTCATTTATATTTGGAAATTTTCAACAACCATTTGTGGAGAGCCATGATTTGGCATTCAGGTGGTTTGGAAGAAGTTGAAGATGTGTAAAAGTTTATTTTTTACAAAACTTCAAGAAACATTTCACTAATTTTCATTTTACCTGAAGGATTTTTCTTTATATTCCTTGAATTGTCTGCTTTCATTTATGTCAATGTGTGAATAATACTCAGTGAACTAATTTAACCTACAAGATTTAATGTGAAAATGGCTTATTCGCATTCCAGAAATGTCTCTTAAGCAAGAAGTCAGAGTTAATGTAGAAAAAGTCTTATTTATTATTTTAAAATAATTTTCATACTAATTTTAGATTAAGATTTAAGGGTTAATTTTAGGTCTGAGTTCTTGAGAGAAGATGCCACACTGTGATCTCATGCATTTATTAATGATGACTATAATGAAACTGAAGGGAATATGGTTCAACCTCACCAAGTTCATTGTGCAGAAGTGCGATACGTGCAGCAAAGCAAGCATGGCTTATCACTTCTAAAGCCGTGCTGACTGATAAGCAGCACACTGTGTTCCCTATCCCTCAGTAACTTCCTAGTCTGCTAAACTGCATGTCTCTATAGACAAAACCTTATAGTGTTTTAATTTTTATTCATCTTTGCACATGGGTTGTACATATTCATTGGAATCAAACTAGAAATAGATAATAACTATATATAACAGATGACATTCAAAGAAATAAAAACTATCTCACCACTTATGTTTATTGTAATATTTTAGTATATTTTGCTTTACACCTTTTTTACTGTTATACACGTGTGTGTGTAATCTCACTAAAATCCATACTTCATCTTATAACCTAAGTGTTTTCAGGGTTGGATTGTTTAGGCCTATGAGGATGGGGGAGGGGGTGGAACTTTTTGTCTTCTTTATTTCTTCCATTTAAAAAAGAACATTTAATAATACTTGACATGGAGTTTGGATTTATTTATTTAAAACTCTTAAATATAGTAAGCCTGTGTAACTTTAGCACCAATTCATACTTACATCGTGATTGAATAGCAATTTTAGTAAGAACAGTCTAAGCATACTTTAGGAAAGATATTTTTATTCTAACAAATTCATGTCTGCTCCATATTCATTGTTTAAGATGAAAATGATAGTTCACACATACTCAATACAGCTGTAGAATATACAATGACCATCTTTGTACCTGCTTTTAGACAATATCTGGTAAGTCCGGTAGAGGTAGAGGCCATATGTGTGTGCCACAGGACCACACATATTCCTAGCAGAATCCCAGACAGTTAGTAAGGAGTAAAAATCTTGGGTGAATGATTAAAGAAAAGAAAGAGAACTTGAAAGATGAGCCAGTTCATTCCCTTGTAATGAGGACTAAATTAGCCTTGTCCTGGAATACATTTCTATCAACATGTCTTTAAAAATTGTAGTAATCGATTGCAAAGAACAAATCTTTTTAATAACCAAGAGCTTCTAGGCCTTTACTTTCCCCAAAAAAGCCATTCGTTGGAGGGGCATGTGTGCGTGAACTCCAGGAAATTCACAGCTTCCTTCTGATTGCTTTAAGCCACACTTTAAAAGGGGGGAGGGGGAAGGGGGGAAGAGGGGGCGGATAAAAGCACTTTAAGAAAGGGGGAAAAAAAACACAGCTTCCTTAATTTCATGGAGGGATGGTGATTCCAGAACAGCCCCTAACTCTTCCCTTCTCTTTTCCAGGTTGCTATCTTCAGAATGATTCCCTGCAGAGCAGTGCTGACTTTTGCCCGGTGTCTGATCCGGAGAAAAATTGTCACTTTAGATAGTCTAGAGGATTCCAAACTATGCCGCTGCTTAACCACCATGGACCTCATTGCCCTGGGGGTTGGAAGCACTCTGGGTGCGGGGGTCTATGTCCTTGCCGGAGAGGTCGCCAAAGCGGATTCTGGCCCCAGCATCGTGGTGTCCTTCCTCATCGCTGCCTTGGCCTCGGTGATGGCAGGCCTTTGCTACGCTGAATTTGGGGCCCGAGTTCCCAAGACTGGGTCTGCCTACTTGTACACTTACGTTACTGTTGGCGAGCTGTGGGCCTTCATCACTGGCTGGAATCTCATTCTGTCTTATGTGATAGGTATGTTTTCAGAATAAATCCAGCTTGTGTAGAAGGGCAGAGGTAGCACTCTTGAGAGACCCTCCGCACTGAGGTGCACGACTGCATTCCCGAAGGATGATGACAGAGGATCACTTGAGTCCCATGTGTCTCCAAATTACAGAATTCTATGATCTGCCTCATCTGAGCTTTTGAAAATCCTGAAATTTGAAATAAAAATATAATTTATTATTTTTGCAGTTCCTCCTTTCAAATAACGTTGCCTGATTCCAAAGTTAGGAACTTGGAGATTTAATTGCTATCGTAACCTGGCATGGGGTGCAGGCCTGTAATCCCAGCACTCAGGAGGCTGAGGCAGGAGGATTATTCAAGGCTAACCAGGGAGATCCTATCTCAATAATAATAATAATAATAATAACAGCAATAATAAACTACTATTGTAATTAAGTGTAATTGCAAACTATATAACTTTATGATGTGATTAAAATTTTCAATCTATATGAACCAACCCATGTTAATCCAAGAATAGAATCATAAGTGATATTAGGTTAGTTTTCTGCCAGTGACCTTGTATTCTCTGTTCTGTTTTGGGAAGGGACGTCAAGTGTTGCAAGAGCATGGAGTGGCACCTTTGATGAACTTCTCAACAAACAGATTGGTCAGTTTTTCAGGACATATTTCAGAATGAATTATACTGGCCTGGCAGAGTATCCCGACTTTTTTGCTGTCTGCCTTATATTACTTCTAGCAGGTAAGAAAGCTGATTATGTGGCAGTCCCCACAATGAGCCAAACTAATGAAAGTAGGTTACTACTGAATTTGGAACCTGAGTTCTTGGGACAAGGTCAGCATATTTATACAGTAAGGTTACTATTGGATATCTGTAGACTTCATCACTGGTTGGCATCACATTTTATCTTAATGTGATAGGTATGTTTCAAAAATAAGTGTAAATTGTGTGGAAGGCTAGAAATAGCAGTTCTGAGTAAAAGGCACCTAGCATAATAACAGGATAAGGGCATCAATTTTGTAATACTTATTGGAGTTTGCAGGAATGATAGTGAAGTTTCAATGAGGAAGAATGTATAATTTCTTGGCATTGTTTCATCCTGTTAGATATAACTAATAGCATACTGTTTCTAGAAGAAATTCTGTTTTTCTCTCATACCTTCATCAATATAATACAAGCATATGATTGAAAAAGAAGCATTCAAATCACCTAATGTTTTCTAATTTAGACATTATATAGATAAAAATACTTGGAATTGGATTTGTTTTTCAGTTCTCATTAGTGTTGTAGCATAGCGGTTAGAAAGGCACAAAAATTAGAGTAGGAGCAACCAGGTTTTCACTCTTTCTTTGCCGCTTACTGCTTTTGTAATTTGAGCAATTTACTTAACCTTCCCCTACCCAGTTTCTCAACCATAAAGTGAGGACATCAGTGCCTACTTTCTACAAGCTTTTTGCTTGTGAATAGAAAGTATGCAGTTTTATTTTGTAAGCATAGCTGATCCCTGCTGTCTTCTTATATTTGTTTCATTTGAACATTTTCTATTCTGATGGTCATTGCTGCCTGCGATCCTGCTTCAAGGAGCCCTGCATCAAGAGTAAAATCTTTGTGCTTCCCACTTCCTACTGGATTCCCCTGTAATCAGTCCTTGCTTTCCTATCCAGCCTCATCTCTTACTATTTTCTCCTTGGGTTAGAAGGCATGAGAGGAATATCTTTTTGTTAGGAAATGTTTACCTATAAAATAATGTAGTTTCAAAGATAGCCTTACCATTTAAAAAGATAGTCATTAATTAAATGTACTACATAGGGAAAGGGCCAAGAACATGAACAAAGTTTATAGATCTAAAGCACTTGGTATTTTGCTTCTAATGTCAAGGAAAAAAAATACTTTCATTGTTTTTCATTAAATGATAGACTTTTGTTTGTTTGATTTCTAAACAGCCTAGCTAACATTAAATTAGTTATGTCATGTTTTATTTAGGGGTGGCTTCAATAAACTTAAAATATTCAGATTTAATCTGTCAATGATGAGAAGCATGTAGCTGTGACATACTTGGGTAGAGCTGTTGAATTCCATGGCAAGACTAAGGCTAAGGCCATAGCCTGTATCATTTGTCCTTTGGTCAGTCACCTTCATATCTTTCTTTAAATGTGAGCCGTTCTTACACAATAACTTTCTTCTTAGACCCTTTGAAAATCAAAATCTATTATAAATACTCATATTGTAATGTCATATGTCAACTAAAACTATTGTTTTATTAAAGATACAAAGGTAGCATATGTAGTATTCAGATGTGGAACTTTTTGGTGTTTGGTCTGTTGTTAGGAGATGAGACCTCAGAGCAGAGAGGGCATGGGGAGTGTTGGGAAACTAATATAAAATGTGGGTGGCTTTGTTATTCCAGGTGTGTAACAGAGGCTCCTAACCCAACCCAGTAACTGTGCTGACCCCCCAGCTTTTCTTTGTGTTATTAATATATTGTTATTATGTTATTATAGTTCTGGGTAGAAGAATGAAATTCATTCTTCTGCACAGGTAAAAGAATGAAATCAAACAGCTCTCATCTCTGCTTGGAAAGATTTGCTTTTGTCATGGTCAATGGTAGGAATATGGGCAAGTAGCCATAGCAGTCTTGGTCATAGCAATCATTTCCCCAATAGTAAAAGATAAACTTTCTTAGGTCTACAATTCATATCTTATGCTAGGAATATTAAAAATCATATCTGATAAATATAATCGTAAAAAACTGGAAAGAAATACAAGTCAACATTTTTGGGTTCCTGTTAGGGAAAATCTCATTAAAAGTAGGAGCGAAAAAGGAAAATGTATAGATTATCCTATCAGCATTTCTGTATATAGAATCAGCAATAAGATTAAAAGTAAATGATAGGTCTATGGGAATACTTCAGTAGCATGTACAAGGCCTGGGAGTCTATCCCCAGTATTACAAAAAAGCAAATTAAAATTAAAACAACTTTTTAAAAGCAAATGATAAATAAGGAAAGTATATGCTATACACAACAGGCAGAAATCTTATAGCATTAATGTACAAATAAATTTATAAATCAATATGAATAGAATATCCAAATTGGTCCAAACTATCTGTAGACTATTTTGACAGTATGAACCCAAAGCCTTGTATTACAGTGTATACCCTTTGATGCAGTATTAACTTGCAGAAAATTATTGTAAAGAAATAATTAGAGCCAGGCACAGTGGGTCATACCTATAATCCTAACTACTTGGGAGACAGAGATTGGGAAGGTCATGGTTCAAGGACAGCAAAGGCAAGAAGTTCACAAGAGTCTATCTCATCCAATAAAAAAACGGGGTGTGGTGGCATGCCCCTGTCATCCCACCTTTGCAGGAAACATAAATAGGAAGATCACAGTCCTGGCTGGCCTGGACATAAATATGAGACCCTATTCAAAAAACACCTGCAGCAAAAAAGGGCTGAAGGTATGGCTCAAGTGGTAGAGCGCCCACCTGGCAATCCTGAGGCCCTGAGTTCAAGCCCCAGTACTGGAAAGAAAAAAAGAAAGGACCAAAAAACGCAGCAAAAAAGGGCTGAGGATATGACTCAAGTGGTAGAGCGCCTGCCTAGCAATCCTGAAGCCTAAGTTCAAGCCCCACTACTGGGGGGAAAAAAAGAAAGAAAAAAAAAGACCAAAAACACCTGCAGCAAAAAGGGCTAAGGGTATGTCTCAAGTGGTAGAGCTCCTGCCTAGCAAGCACAAGCCCCTGAGTTCAAACTCTAGTGCTGCAAAAAAAATTTACAAAATGTAGAAAGATATTTATAAAAGGGTAATGATGTCAGTGCTGTTTATAAAAAACTAAGAAGAGTGACCTAATTGTCTATAAATAAAAGATCCAAGTATCTCCATATAGTATATTATGCATCTATTAAAAATGGGGCTATGTATTTGTCATTTGGAAGTGTGTGTGTGTGTGTGTGTGTGTGTGTGTGTGCACACGTGTGCAAAATTCTGCAGGGAGATTACACTTGATCTTTATTCTTCATGCTTTTTCTGGATCTTCAAATTACTTGAATAAGATATTTTTATAATCAGAATGTAAAATAAATCTATTGAAATGAGAATACATTTAACAACTTTTGGTATCACCTTGCAGAGTTATTTTCTGCTTATATGTTCAGTAGATACAAGAGATACATATAATTGAGCTTTTATATTAGCCTTGAACAAACTTTTTAGAACAGCAATTCACTGAAATGAAGTGTTGCTTTATATCTACCTACCATTGATGGTATTAGCCAACATTACTAGACTTAGGATACTTCTTAGAAAGAATGGAATCTCTTGACTGAGCACAGTCTGCCTCCACAAGTCAAATTGGTTGTGTTCACAAGACATTGCTTAACAATGAGGTGACAAATGACTAAGAACTAGCAATAGAGATGGATAAATGAGAGTTAAGTATCTGATTGCTGGTGCAATAATATCCTAAAACCTGCATTTGCCTCAGTATGCCCTTGCCTTTCCTACAGGTTAAAAATTAAAATGTCCTTTCTTTTTCTATAGGACTTTTATCTTTTGGAGTGAAAGAGTCTGCCTGGGTGAATAAATTCTTCACAGCTATTAATATCCTGGTCCTTCTCTTTGTCATGGTTGCTGGGTTTGTTAAAGGAAATGTGGCGAACTGGAAAATTAGTGAAGAGTTTCTCAAAAATATATCAGCCAGTGCCAGGTAAAATGTTTAGGGAATCTTTCCTTCTTTTTTTAAATGTTACATGTCAAGAGGATGCTTGAAAGTTTTCTCTTAGAGCAATAGTTCAAAAATTCTTTGGTTCTGAGATCTTTCTGAGGACCTGTTCTATGCTAAGTCTCCTCTTCCAATGCTCCTCCTGGACATAAAGGTACAGGTGGGCTCACTGTTGAGCTACTCTAAGAAGCTATACAGATGCTGGTCCCCAACCTCACCCTCTTCTCCGGGTTTGGGGAAGAACAAGGGGCAAGCCTAACCACTCACAGAACTTGGCCTTTTTCTCCCAACAGTTTGCCACTTCTAAATAATAATGACTATTTTTGAGTCGTGCATTCTTTTGTTTTTCCTGTGGGACCACCATTCAGTTTTATTACTTGCTTTCAGGCTTTTAGTCACTTTCAGGCCTTGTGTTTAGGAGAATGTTATTAGCTACGTAAGTAGAAAGAAGATTGGAAAAATATCTATTACACAGAGTAAGGTACTTCTATATGTTTTTCTTTATATTTATAGACATTCTGATAAGAGAAAATTAGTCTTCTGATTTTACACAGTTTTTAACATAATAAAATATTCAACTTCAGTATTATTAATCAAGCCTAGGGAATTTCATTTCACTTTTCAACTGTCTTCAGAGTGAGTATTAAAGATGTGACATCTGCCTTACTTTGTTCTTCATGAATTGAGAAATAGATTCTCTACAGGAAAAAACAAAGAGGAAGCTACTCATCATTATCACAGAGCATAGCCCATATGTGGCACTTTGCTCTCAAAATCCTGCCTGCCTGTGTATTCCGGGCCTTCTGTATCTGCTGTTGGTCAGCCTCTAGTTGGATCTTAGTGACAGAGGGTCACTTTGAGGGGCTCTACCACATTCTCTAGAACAGGCTGTGAGAATAAAGTATTTTTTTTAATTGTTGTGCTGGGTGGAGGTACATTGTGGCATTTACAGAGGAAGGTTCTTACAATGTATCAAATACATTCTACTTGAATTCACCCCCTCCACTGCTCTCTTTCATCCCCCATACCCTGATTCCTGGAACAGTTTCAACAGTTTCATTTTTGCATTTATATATGTGTTAAATACTTTAAAGAGCTGAACACAACATTGCAAGGATGTAGTTTGAGACAAATTGCCAGAAGGAGCAGTTTCCTTGAAAATAACTTGCAGTATGTTTGTTTTCTTCCTTAGAGAGCCACCTTTTGAAAATGGAACAAGTATCTATGGGGCTGGTGGCTTTATGCCTTATGGCTTTACAGGAACCTTGGCTGGTGCTGCAACTTGCTTTTATGCCTTTGTGGGATTTGACTGCATTGCAACAACTGGTAAGAGCAGTGTCTCAGCTCTAGGTAGAGGGAAAAGGTGTTCCTTGTATCACAGGAGTAGCATTGTGTGCCTGCAGAGGGTCAGGAAAGAGGGCGGGATTTGGAGTAAGAAATGTGCTAGTTCCAGATCTATCTGTGACACTGACTGTAGATGATTAAAAAAATAAAGATTCTTGGTGAGGCTTTCCAGGTCTTGTTTTCCATATTGGTAAAACTGGGAGAATAGTACCTTTCCCTCAGAAATTGTGAAGATTACTAACATAACAAACACGTATGGCAGATATTTTGCATATAAATTTTGGTCATAATAACTATCCTACCCTTCTTTCTGAAAATATGGTCACTTCCAGAATATTCTCTTCTTAAATTATCTTTTCTTAGTTGAACAAATTATATCAATTCTTTTCTCTTTATTGTGAACAGTAAGTCCTCAAGCAAGAGTCACTCTGGATTTTTACAATTGTGCACCCTTATAACCAACCATGTTTGTGATACTTATTTGTCAATCTTATTAGAAGGAGTCAAAGAATTCTGTTTCTTTATCAAACAGAGTAAAATAGATGAGATGCATTTACCTGAAGTTTTCATGTTTGAGAGCCTACAGAGTACCAAAACAATCATTTAATCTCTGAATGAGATGTTTTCCAGTGTGTTAAGATGCCATTCTATCCCCAAACATTTAGGAGTGCTGATATGTCTTCATTTGTTTTTTTGTTTTTGTTTTTGTTTTCTTTTCTGGAAGAAACTGATTTACAAGAGTTCTCCTCCTCCTCTCCTTCTGAGAATTGGATTTATATGTTGAAATAGCTAAGTACCTTCAAGAAGAGAAGGGAAATTTCATGTAATATTAATAGATAGCTCAAGCTAAGAAAGCAAGCAGAAGGCACAAAATCAAATAGAATGACCATGAGAAGAGGAAACCCTTGATCCATGTTAAGTTCTTTACTTGTTAACAATTTATTAAACATGCAAATCTTTTGTTTATATTTCCATAGGTGAAGAAGTCCGGAATCCCCAGAAAGCAATTCCTATTGGAATAGTGACTTCTTTACTTGTTTGCTTTATGGCCTATTTTGGGGTCTCTGCAGCTTTGACCCTTATGATGCCATACTACCTCCTCAATGAAAAAAGCCCTCTTCCAGTAGCATTTGAGTATGTTGGATGGGGTCCTGCCAAATATGTTGTTGCAGCAGGCTCCCTTTGTGCATTGTCAACAAGGTACTTTGTGTTGCCTTTGGAGCAGGGGCTGTTTGGGTTCCTACAAAGCGTAGTCAGTGTCTTTAAAAAAAAACAAACTGCTTTTGTGGGCTTTGGGTATAACCCAGCGGTAGCGGTAGACTGCTTGTCTAGTATGTGCAAGGCCCTGGGTTTGAACCCCAACACCACCTCCCCAAAAAAATTGCTTTTGTATGTTCTAAAAATATTCTAACATGAGGAACATATTATGCAACTAGGTCCTCACTAAAAAGTTTGCCCAGAATTGGCACATAAAAAATCTTAAGTGATTAAAAAAAACTTTTCCCCCATCATATTTTTCAAGATAATAATGGTCCAAGCATTGGTAGAAATATGTACACAATTGGTACCCATACAAATATCTATACCATACATTCAAATATTTCTGTATTATTAAAAGTTGGGATATTATGCTTGTATGTTTCTCTGCTGGCTTTGGTATTGCATTGCTTCAGACAATCTGAAACTATATTTGCAGACTTCACATTTTGTGTTAGTCTTTAAAGTAATACTGAGTCCACACAAATTAAAGCTATATGCTGCATCATTTTTAAATACAAATATGTTTTTTATGGTGAAACATGAAGACAATTTCCTCAGTACCAATCACAGTGAACTTGATCTGGAAATAGAAATTGCCATTCTCAAATTAGTAGTAGAAACTCTTATCGTATTTATGTGAAAAACAAAGGGTATTTGAGTCTCTAGTGTTCAAATTTCCAGTAGCTGCATTTCTCAGGTTTCCTAAGCTGCTCAGATTTCTAATTAACATATGATCATAAGTAAAATATTTCATTCTCATTTTAAGTCCCACTACATGATAAAATATTCTCACAAAGAGAAAATTAATCTTTTCACTTATTTTTAAAATTGAAACATTTTTAAAAGTCTGAAGTTAGAAAAGAATTAATATAATTCAACAACCTAGCTTTGTTTTTTTTCTCTGAAAATCCCTTTTATTTTCTAGTCAAGAAAATATTAAGTGGCTATTAGAAATCACCCCTCTGGGTTTCTTAGTCATCTACTACTGTTGAAATAGCTTGAAAAGTCTGAACTATGAGGATACCATGCCTCCATGGTAGAAGGGGTAGATACCTTGACTCAGCTCTATTAGATAAAGACAATGGATTTTTTTTTACATAAAATACTTATTTTCTCTTAAATGATTATTTTTCACAACTAAGTCATATATGGAATGGTGCATCCAGTTAACACAAGTAATTAAAAACATCTAAAGCAAAAATTGTTTATTCAATTTCACTGGTACTAACATTTAATTGTGGCTACTTCTATGTACTAAATCTACAGTAAGTTGGGGTTTTTTTACCTTTCTCTACCCTGGTTATCTTATTATGATGGGAATTATTAATAATAAAGATCAAAGGTTAAAAATAATGGTAACATAATTACTGAATAAATGAGATGACTGATATAAAATTGCTTAATCTCTTCTTTAATTACATATTAATTTAGGAATTTTCTGAATTATTGCCACTAAAATGTCTTATTGATATCATTGGTTTGGTTTTTTACAAGTCTAATTACTGTGTTTTAATTCAGTAATAATCATAGGTACACACCAATGACTTGCAGTACTGTTTTTAGTCTGATAATGTGGTTGAGCAAATATCAGCAACAGAATTATTTTGTTTCAATTCCGGGTGTGATCTTGCATGAATTTGTTTGCCATACTGCATGTCTTTGCTTTTTACTCAGTCTTCTTGGATCCATTTTCCCAATGCCTCGTGTAATCTATGCTATGGCGGAGGATGGGTTGCTTTTCAAATGTCTAGCTCAAATCAATTCCAAAACGAAGACACCAGTAATTGCTACCTTATCATCGGGTGCAGTGGCAGGTGAGAGAGAGTTGATTTTTATTAAGAAAAGGGGGTATTTTTCATCAAGGACTCTGGAAAAAATAGAAAGTTAGGTGGTTTTCTATTGTGATAGACATTAAATTCAATAACTTTTTGTGATTGTATCCTATTTTGAATTTTTTGGTTCTGCACGTTAGTATGTTCAGTCTTTACCTGTATATACAGCTGTCTAAAATAATACTTAACTCACGTGGATTATGAATTTTTCTGTTCTAGTCTTCTGGGCTCTATGTTTCCTTTACCCCGTATTCTGTTTGCCATGGCCAGAGATGGTTTACTGTTTAGATTTCTTGCCAGAGTGAGTAAGAGGCAGTCACCTGTTGCTGCCACGTTGACTGCAGGGGTCATTTCTGGTAAGCTTTCCAACATAGGCTTCTTCAGCATTGGACTGGAACATTGTGTACGCATGTGTGGACTTACACAAAGGGTCTGCATGCTATGCATGTAAGTTAAGAACAAAATCATGGATAAATTAGTGTATGGGATTAACATCTGACAATTACGGTGGAGGTGGTATGCTGAATTTCATCCATAACTAATCCTTTGGGATTTTCCATTATTTTATTATTTTAACCATTTGGGCTTCTAACAAGTTTGCAAAGCATTGTAATGGTTCTTAACTGTATAGAAGGTGTTGCTTTTCTGATTGGTGAATGAGGACATAAAATTCCACTTTTGACAGAAAATTATACTTGAACAATTATATAATTTTGGAAATAGTAATTTAAAAATAATGATTCTAGGATTTTTGAAAAATTGAACTTTACCCATTCTTAATCTAGTATGAGAAATGTCAAAGATAATATGTAGCTGGCTATTGTACTCCCTACCCTCAGTATGGTGGCTTCCCTGCTTCCTAGCATCAAACATCTAAGACTTACACTTATGTCCTCTCAAGCCCCATTATGAACCTAATTGTCCAGGTTATGTTTATAAAATCCAGACTACATTTTGGCATGTAAAGTGCTTTTGGCCAGATTCTCACTGTGTGCAGAAATTTTCAAAGAGATTCCATAGATTGAGAGAATGGCCTTAAAGTTGCTGTTATAGGAAGCAAGAGAAAAACTTTAGCAAGCTACACAGATATATAAAATGACAGTAGTCTTGGCAGTAGAAATTCAAATCAAAATGCTGATTTTGTTGAGGCTCTAATATGTTGGGAAACTAGAGTTGAGAATGCTTCATTACCTATGAAACAGATTTTTTTTCAGGGTCAGAAAGTATTTGCCTGCACAGTTTCACTTTACAAATATTTTCTAATAAATCTGACACTTGATGTCATGTGTTGGAGAGTCCAGGTACTTTTCTCAGGCTTAGATGTCTGTCCGCATAAAATGACAATCATGCTAGCTGTTAAAGCCCATTTTATGACTGATTAAACAATGCACTATTATATTAAAAGGTAGTTCACATCATAAATATTTCTTGACAAAGGATCACATATTTTATTTAATCCCTAAAACCTTTTACTCATTCCAGTAAAAAAAAAATCTTTCCCAGTAACAACTCTTCTTTGAATTCAGAATTATTAAAATAATTTAACCTTCTCCTTCATTGAAGAAGCATGTAATTTAACAGCATAATAATATATTTAAGTTAATAATTAAAAGAAGATAATTACAGTAGAATGTTTTTAATGTTTAGTATGGTTTTGCTATTTTGTACTCCCACACCATACTTTGTTTTTAATTTAGATTAAAGAGAGCTTATATGAATAATTAGTCTTTTTTGCTCCTCTTGGCTACCTTATTTGGCTATCCTCATAAAGCATACTAAAATTTTAATAATTTAACATATAAATATGCTAGCATTTGAAGAGCTCTCAAAGTGAGTGATAATGGTTTATACCTAGTGCTGGTAGTTACCAGTCTGTAAGGTGGGAATAATTTCATAAGATCAGACCATGGAAAACTGCTAGGGTGGGGTCAAAAATAGTCAAATACCAGTCATTTTGTATAGCTAAACTGAAGCAATTTCCCTTGTCTCATGGGATCATTGATAAAATGGGACCATAGGAATATAAAATTTGCAGAGGGGAGTAGAACATCATGAAAATGGAATGTGATCTACTTACTAAGATAGGGACTATTATGTGGTAAACTTGAGTCAATATTAAAGAATATTTTAATATTAAAGTATAGTTTACTTCATATCAAACATTGGGATTTAGTGTGCAGGATCATATTGATCTCTCATATCTAGTCAGTCTACCTGGAATCTGTGGCTTTAAACTATAGCTGAAATATAATTTTGTCAAAATTTCTTTCAAATTTTTGTGTTGCTTATCATATAACTCTTAATGTATATAGGAATTAAAATAATTATGATTTCTATAATGAAAACTCTTCTGTTTCAAATTTTTTGTTATTTTAAAAGTAAGATAGCTAGTGCTTCCTATCAGTGTTTTTCTTATGGACATTGAAAGACAGTATTCTGTTGTATAATATTTTTACTCTTTGTCAGGCCAGAAATGTTTTAAGAAGCAAAATAGATACATTTTGTACTTACTAGCAAGCTGATGCTTACTAGTAGCTTATATGATCTAAAGAACAGTTTATGAACCATAGTAACATATTTCTGCGAATCCTAGAAATATATTTTGTATACCTTGATTTGGCATTGGTATTGAAACAGAAGAGTATCAGTCAGTTGTCCCTGACTCCAAAGTCAGAGACTGCTATTGGCTTTACCTTTTTGTTTATTTCTTCCCCAATAGCTGTGATGGCATTTCTTTTTGACCTGAAGGCACTTGTGGACATGATGTCCATCGGCACCCTCATGGCGTACTCTCTGGTTGCAGCCTGTGTGCTCATCCTCAGGTGAGTTGCCTGGCAGTGGTTCTAAAGTGAGTGCCAGGTGGAACTCAGAGAGTAAAGAAACCATCCTTCCTTTCAAGGGGCTAACAGCCTCCCTGAGGTGAAAGTCCGTGTTCGTTAAAAACACCAAAATAAAGTATAAGAGACAGATGTGTCTTTAGCAAAGAATCAAGTACAATTTGACTATTACTTATAGGTTGACCCACTCTGTAAATGGCAATTTCGTGTAATCCATAGAGATACTTAAAAATACTGTACTTTTTCTCCAGTAATCCAGAGCTAAAATTTTACCCTAAAGATTTCATCAAAGAGGCATGCACACATAGATGAAAAGGATATTCATGGAAAAGGTAAATTTACAAGAGTGAAGAAAATACAACTAATCTGAATATCAGTAGGTGAATGATTAGATAAATGAGGGTATACTTACTAGTGGCTTCTTCAGCAAATAAAATATTTAATTATACAGATAAATATTTCCATGTCAGGATACAAAGCTATATAAAGCATCTGAAATTATTTAAATCTTATATGAAGAAGTGTTTTACACACACACACACACACACACACACACACACACACACATGCCTGGATGAATTAGTACTAAAATGCTAACAGTGATTAACACTGGATAGTGGTGTTATGGATGGTTTTAATTTTCTTCTACATACTTTTGTGTATTGTTTCTCAATGGGCATATTTCTTTATATGGAGAAAAAGCTTTACTTTCTAAAATAAGCAAAGGCTGTTCAGAAGGAGCAGGAGCCACAATGGGGAGACTGTGATAGTTCCTTGGAGGAGAAGCAGGCTGATTATGTTGACACAGCTGTAGAGGAAGAGGGTAAAGTAATATGGGGAAATGGTGTGCACTAGGTTGGGGTGATGGCATAATAGCAACAAAAAGTTGTCTGGATTAAGCTAGAAGAATCAGGCTGGAAATTTGAGGAAAATGGGGATAGAGAGACAGACTATGATGAGAACTTTGAATACCATCCTGAAGAGTCCACCATGTGAAATAATATAATCTAACTCTAACCAGAGTTTCTGTACCATTTTCATGAACTGAATTTTCTATGAACATAGATGGTTTCAGAAATAATCATCCTCAACTACCTCACTTGAAACTATAACCTCTTTTAGATCTCTTGTCCAACTTTCTAATTCAGTGGCTATCAAAGGAAATTCCAAGTAGCTACAGACATTTTTTTGAAAAGGTTTGTGGCCTGGCTGAACATACTCTGGGACTGGAGTCATGAGAATGTCACTTGACTGCACACATTGTGACTTCGTAAGGTGTCACTTAGAGTTTTGGGTGCTGCTCTCATTTGGGCTAACTGTATATTTGAGAGTAAAGACACATATTTATTTGGTGTAGGTACCAACCTGGCTTGTGTTACGAGCAGCCCAATATTCCCCTGAGAAAGAAGTTCTGGGATCATGTGCCAGTGCAGCTTCAAAAAGTGAGTCCCAGGTCACCATGCTACAAGGACAGGCCTTCAGCCTACAAATCCTCTTCAGCCCTTCCGCTCTGCCAACACGACAGTCAGCTTCTCTTGTGAGCTTCCTGGTGGGATTCCTAGGTAAGTCGTCTTCACTGTAGACACAGAAAAGACCCAGCAGATGTGTGTAATGTGAAAGACTGAAGACAAAAAGTCTCACATTTCCCTAGAATATTTTTGCAGCTAACTTGAATCTTAGCCAAATTTGTACCTAGAGGGATAGACAGTCACTAGTAGTAGAGACCATGTTTATATTTATCATGACCATGTCAAGATTTATGATATCTTTATAATTGAAGACAGAAGAAAGAAACTCTCTAACAAGAGTGGCAAAGTGCAAACTGGCACATTTCAGCTATTAGGATGCTCTCTGTGTGAAAGAATCAGGCTGAGTACACCTGCCAGAAATGTAACTAAAACCCAATGGGATTGGAAGTCACTATAGAAAATCCTTGTTTGCTCACCCATAGTTTCCTAATCATCCATATGTCCAGTGACATTTATTGAGCTTCATTTGTGCCACACAGATGGTCCTTGCTCTGAGGGGGCTTTACATTAAAAGATTGCTGGTGTCAAGCTAGAGAAAAACAAGTTTCTCTGAGAGAAGATAAGAGGGATCCGTAATGCAGAGATGGTCAGAGGAAGTGTGATGTCATTGCCTAAAATATGGAGAAAAGGTGCAGAGCATATGCTACTATTTGTCTGCATTAGCAACTGGTTTTTACGATAGCTTACAGTAGCAGACTTGCCATTTCTTGTTTGAAAAAAATGAGAGCTCTTCACCCTGAACAATATCCTATCAGCCCATGTGACACAGTCTGAGCATAGCATATGAGGAACCAGAGTCACATGGGCAGAGAATGCAAAATGGTAGTACCAAGTGGTGAGGCTGACTTCTAAGAAGATGGAAATAAGGACACAGCAATGTTTCTTAAGTGAGTGGAATGGACCATCTCTTTTCACAATGAAAAAGAAGAAAGAACAAAATAAAGAATCTATATTTGACAAAGCAGATGTAAAAAGAACCTATTCTGATGTCATATCAGATCAGAATAGACTGTTAAAGTTGAGAAATCTTGGTGAAGTGCATGTGCTGACTGTTTTATATACTTGCACCTTTGCAGCATTTCTCGTGCTGGGCCTGAGTATCCTGACCACATATGGAGTCCAGGCTATTGCTGGACTGGAAGCCTGGAGCCTTGTTCTTCTCATGCTGTTCCTTGTTCTCAGCATTACCGTTGTTCTCACCATTTGGAGGCAGCCACAGAATCAGCAAAAAGTAGCATTTATGGTATGTGTACTGAGAATTAAAGATCCTAAATATTAGGTACACCTCTTCTCTTCTTCTTAGCATTCTGAGTTGTTTCTTTTTTAAAAATGTATAACAAAGTTAAGCAATGAACAAGAGTGTCTAAATCTTTGACATGGTCCTTTTTTGTCATAGTAGTCTCTACATTGGCTGCCTTACTCCCCTTTTCAAGAACTTGAATATGCTCCTATCACAATACTTGTATAAGTAATAGTAGAAAAAAATTGTTAAATAATCTATAATATTAGAAAAATAGTGCATAAAATCCTGAGCTCAATCATCATGCACCAAAACGTAAAAATAAAAACCAGCGAGAGAGAGAGAGAGAGAAAGAGAGAATTTGAGTATTTTCCCAATAAGCACCCTTTACTCTGTAAGTTAAATTATCCTGTCCCTTCAGAACTAGGGAGCCAGGGAACATATTTGGTATGAACAGTGCTTTCTGAAAATGTCCCCTGGAATACCGTGTGTGTTCAGAGTTCCACAGGCATCCCCTGTTGATGTCTGAACTGTACCTGTAAATCCTGAACTAAACCAAACCCTAAACCTAATTGTATCTTGGTAATGACCTATCAGTATTATCGGATTTGATAAATCTATTGCCTCTTGAACTTTATCAAACAATCTGAAGTATCATTCTCCTTTTAGTAGTTTCTAGAAGAAACTTGCTGATTGTCCATTCTGCAAGAATACAAGCTTACTGATGCTATGTAACAGTGTGTATGTCAAATTAATTGCCACCACCTTTAAAGAATTTGGGAAATGTGCTTTCAAAGTATGAGTATTTTCAAAAGGATGATTTTTTTCCTCAGGTTCCGTTCTTACCGTTTTTGCCAGCATTCAGCATCCTGGTGAACATCTATCTGATGGTTCAGTTAAGTGCAGACACTTGGGTCAGATTCAGCATTTGGATGGCACTTGGTAGGTCTTTTAATGCTTTAGTGTTCTCAATTCCTTCTTTCACTGGCTGTGTTTAGAGAAAAACACTCTCTTCCCCTTCCTAGAAATAAAGGCTTTTGTCATTCTCTCCCTATCTGAATTTGTAGACCATCTGAAAGCTTATTTTTCCAGATATAATTTTTTTTTTGGTGCTGGGACCCCGATCCTGGGCCTTGTGTGTACCAGGCAAGTGCTGTACCCCTAGTCCCTCAGATATCTTTTTAAATTCAAATCTCCCAAGAACTCTGGAGAGCCCTTTGGTTCTGTTTTCTCTAACTTACAAATGAGAAAAATGAAACCCAGAAAAAGTCATTTCATATTAACCCCAAATTCTCATCCAGTTTTCTAAATAAAGCTAAAACACACAGAAATGCATACTTATGGGCCAGACACTAAGCCTATAATCCCAGCTACTCAGGAGGGAGAGATCAGGAGAATTGTTTTCTCCAAAACAATTCTGCCAAAATGTTACTAAGACCCCAGCTCAACAAATAAACCAGATGTGGTGATCCATGTCTGTAATCTCAGCTGACAGGAAGCCATAGAAGTATTGCAATCTGAGGCCAGCCCTGGGCAAAAATGCACGACCCTATCAGAAAAATAACTAAAGCAAAAAAGGGCTAGAGGTATTGCTCAAGAGGCATGAGTACTTGCCTCGTAAATGCAAGACCCTGAGTTCAAACCCCGCTACCACCAAAAAAGCAAACACAAAAAAATGAATAAGTAATTATGATGCTACTTAAAACATTGCTTCCTATCCCCATAGTTAGCATGGCTGTCAATTGACAGTTGCGTTGTACCTAGTTTTTTGGCCTCTCCTAATGATAGTGACATGTGGAAGGCCTATCCATGTCTCCTCATAAGCACAGGTCCTGCTTTCCAAAATACATGACTGTGAATCCACCTCTTATATTTAGGATGTAATTTGAACCTTTACCCAACATGGCACTTTGTTTAAAGTATGCTGTTGATTTTTTCTTTCTTGGGTTTTTTTGTTTTGTTTTGTTTTTGTTTTTTTGATGATACTGGGGTTTGAACTCAGGGCTTCATGCTTGCTAGGCAGGCATTCTACCACTTAAACCACACCCCAACCCTTTTTTGCTTCAGTTATTGTTTAGAATAGTCTTAGGTTTCTTGTATGGATCCCTAATCCTTCTATTTATGCCTCGCACACAGCTGGGATGATAGGCCTATGCCACCACACCCAGCTTTACTGGTTGAGATGGTGTCTTGCTAACTTTTTGCCTGGGCCATACTCAAACAATGATCCTCTGGATCTCTCCTGAGTAACTGGCCACCATGACCACCCACCTGGTATTGACTTTTTTTTAAAATCATTTTCTGTTTTTTTTATTGTTGTGCTGGGTGGGGGTACATTGTGGCATTTACAGAAGTTCTTACAGTATCAAATATATCATAGTTGAATTCAACCCCTCTGTCATTCTCCCCTCCCTCCATTCCTGAAGTAGTTTCAACAGGTATCACTTCCCATTTACATACATGTGTACACAGCACTTTTTCCACATAAACATTAATCTGAACACATTTGTCAGGAGAAACATACATTCTATAAAGTATGGGTATTAAAAATGAAAAGGCTCATTTTATTGGGAAAACATATATACAGGAGACCTTCTGTGGTGTGACTTTTATTTGCCTTCCATTCTAAAGTAGCACCAGAAGAGAAAGAGAAAACCCTGTTAATAAGTTCTGTATTAAATTTTCCATGGTAAAATAGTCATTTTCTGACACCCAAACATTGATTGTTTTTCCTCCTCCAAAAGGTTTCCTGATCTACTTTGCTTATGGCATTAGACACAGCCTAGAAGGTAACCCAAGGGATGAAGATGATGAGGACGCTTATTCAAACAATATTAATGCAGCCACAGAAGAAAAATCTGCCATCCAAGCAAGTGCTCATCACCAAAGGAATCTCAGTTTACCTTTCATATTCCATGAGAAGACAAGTGAGTGCTAACACTTGCAGGAGCAGAGCTGGTCCACGGTCTTAACATATGTATCTACATTGAGTAAACTATGACAAGATGTCACCATCACCATACTCAAGGTTGTCATGGGTTTACTGCCTACACACTAATTTATACTTCCTCATCTGGACAGCATCTCCTCACATGGTGGATTATGTGGCTGGGGAAAACTCCTGAGTTCTCTCCTCGTGGATGACTATCCCCAAAATAGTGTGAGGGTGTGTGTGTGTGTGTGTGTGTGTGTATTTGGGAACATGAATGCTAAGTTAGTTGTTTTATTATCGTGAAACCTTATTCCAGTGTTGTCATAATTGGTAACATATACTGCACATTACTAAAATAGAGATCAGTCGCTGAATAGAAAGGTGCTCTGAATGCACCCTGGGTAGTTGAACAAACAGTGATCCTTTTCCTCAGTAGGCTTCATTAATGTTAGTTTAGACATGCTAAAAGTGCAGTCAGCCGTTATGGTGTCTGTCACTGTCAGGGGCAAGACGAGAGGATAAGGAATGAGCCTTTTCTGTAAGTTATAATCCCAGCAGTGGATTTGGTACACATTTTTTTCCTATGTGATATGGCAGTTTACTAAACAGTAGGAGTATTTGTTTTTTGCCAGTTGACACAGGATGGAGTGGCATTCCAAGCCACCAGATAGCATTTGAAATGCGCAGTCCTTAAATAAGACACTTCCACCTACTGTGAATGATATGGGCCCTCAACCCAACCAGGGGCACAAGAGAGGTACTGTGATCTGCTTGGGACCCTTGAAGCTAGAGAACATAGGTGGGGTCCCCATGGTCCAAAAGCAGGTGTAAGTGACCTGATACAGATGTATTTAAAGATCAGAGTTAGACATATGCTGGGGTAACTAAACCTCAGACTTAACCTTACTTCAAGAAAAAAGTCACTTAAAATAAATCAACAGAATCTCCCAGATCACACGACTGGTAAAATGACTCATATTTTTTCTTTACTTAATACCTAATCACAGCTTAACTTTTTTAACCTCACCAAACACAGAACTCACTCTTTTGTTTCTGTTATTTTACTTTATGTGAGGGGCTACAGTAGCAAAATTCTGTCATTACAATGTACAAAAGAAAAGTTGGAGGGATGTAAGAGAAAATTCCTCTATTCAAATAATAGAGGGCATTTGCCCAGCAGAAGGGGCTCAGATTTAATTTGGCTCTAATGTTTCTTCTGTAAACATTTAGGCATACCTGCCCTACATCACTTGGTACTTTTTACTGCATTTGGTTTTAAATGACCACACTAAGCCTATTAACCTCCAAAATTCTACAATAATCCATCAGTAATTGGGGAATTATTTTGGTAACACAGTACTTAAAGCTTCAAGCTAAAAAAAGTAACCAAATTAAATTAAAGCCATAAAAACACAGTAACCTTTGTGTATGAGTAAATAAACTTTTATATGTAAGATTTTCTGATTGCTATATTTTACTTTGTAGGTTTTCTGATAGTGGTTTATTTATCTTGTGTTAATTTTGTACAAATAAATGGTTTGTTAGATGAGGCTGGAGGCTGGACACATGTGGGTGACACTCCCAGGATTTCATGGTGAGTGTCACCAAGCATCTAGTTGACCTGCATGATCCAAAGGCAAAGAAAACATTTGTTTTCTGACAGTTCGTCTAAACGATCATTTATCTTACTGGTGCCTTTAAAAAGCAAGTTGCAATTCTTTTCTATAACCATGAGTTTGTTGTGATTAAATATCAAACAAAAAGGTGGAAAGTCTGGGTTTCTGGCTGCTAACGGAGGGGCATCCCGGACACAGAGCTCATTATGACATTCCACAATTTCCAGGGTGCACTTAGTAAAATTTGAAACCCAGAATTCTCCATCAAGCTGCGTTTTTTTACTGAAGGTGAAGAAGTTGGATAAGCATTGGGAAAACATTTTTGTAAGAACTGTGGACATGATCATTAAATCCTTGCAATTACAACAGTACTAAGAACCCCTTTTATTCTATATTCAATTTAGAATAGGCCTGTCACATTGGAAATGTGAGCAGTTCTATATGAATATTTTAAGTCTTTACTGTAGCAAAATCAATATTTTGTTTAGTAAGTGATAGGCAGCTAAAACAATTGTGCCTACTATGTTCAATTAGGAGCAGAATTTAATAATTATTTTGTACATTGAAACACTTTGCAAACACAGATACCTATGAAAATATGCTTTGTTGGTGATCATGCTGTTTTTTTTCTGTGAAGACTCAAATGTGTATACTTGTATGTATGTAAACACATTTACCTATCTTGTCTGTAAGTGTATATTTCATGTGTGTGCAAGTGTGTATATTCCAAATATCAGTGAATAAGTTGGGTTTATGATGGCCTTTAGATATGATATTGTTACATGGATTAAAAAAACCCCAATTGATGTGGAGAAAAAATAATATTTTATATTGATAGAAATTTTAAATGTTAAACTATTTTAAAATACACAATTTTATATGTATATTTTCTATAGATAGGTTCTTTAAGAAATATTTATGATGTTTCTAATATGAAATCACTAAACTCTAGTACATTGTAATAGGTGCTTTTTTTATCTGAATGGAGTAGGGTACATTGGGGGATTCCTGTTTACTTGTTTCTGTTGCACCTTTTCTGATACACCTGTCCAGAGATGTGCTTTTTAGTGAAAGTCAATACTACCAGCTCTTTGCCACCTCTGTGCTCATAACACATTGAACAAAATGTTGCTTTTACTTTTCAGGATCACCAAAATGTTTTTTAGATTTAATTAGTCATCAATCAAACTTACATAAAGTCCTCTTGGGAAATTAAAAAATATATACATTATTGTAATTGTGATTTCGTAAAAACAGCTTACATTTCTTTTATACTAGGCATATGCTCTCAACATTTTCATGGAGAATTGATAGCACCCTTAATTTTACATTCTTCAAAAAAGAGAATGATCTGTGAATCATCATAGAAAGGTGATGCCAACCCTCCATTTAAAAGGTGGCTTGCAAACTGTTTTAAAATGATGAGAAAAACTTATTGGATCCTTCGATATATGCTAAAACACAGATTAGTGCTTAATTACCTCTTCCCTAGAGGTAAATCATCAAGAAAACTAAGACTGAAGTATCATTTGATATTATATATACATATTTATATCGAAGTTGATTATATAAAACTTTACTATTACCAACCATAGTTGATAGAACTCTCTTCCTTTAAAGGAGTGGAGCCTATCTTCTTTTAATTTTTATGAATAAGGGTTTTTTTAAAAAAACTTTTTATTTTAAATATTAGCCAAAATATTTTTAGTCATGAGTAGTTGTTTTAAAAAAAATTGGTAAAATACCTTGGGTTACAATCTGTTTTTACTAACTCATTTTCTAAATTTATTTGAGCACTTAGAATAATAAAGAAAAGTAATTGCTGTCCATGACTGATGATGACTGAGGGAGCAGTTGAGTCTTATCTTCTTTCTTCTCAAATCAGGGTGTTTGAGATTTGGACTGTGTTGCAGACAAATTTTTTTTGTTGTTAAAAAATCAGGCATATTCCAAGATTACAAATGACATGGTAAATTTGTTTAAGATTCCAGTTCTCTTTCCTTGCAAAGTTGCTCATCATCTCTTCTGATATGCTTCAAGAGACAGTCCTCAAAATAAATTTTTCTTAGGTCTTTAAAAGACTAGGTTTAGAGTATACAATGTAGATTTTTAAAAACCACATTAGTGTGGGGATTTTTGGTGGGATGAGTGAAATTCGCTATCTTTTTGTTAGTGCCAAAACAGTGCCTTCTCTAAATACTTTCTACTTTATGAAGTTCTCTAACTTGTTTATATATCAAGAGGATATAACGTAGTAAGTAATGCCAGCAAAGGTCTTTTTTTAGTGATATAGATGTGATAATAGGTTGCTTCACTTTGTTGTTTAACTGAGATATTTTTCCTTATATAATTATATTTAAACACTTTAAAATAGTTTCTAGATTTTAAGAGGACGAACTGTTACTATTGTAGCTGTTTGGATGTTGGTTTTTGTAGTATTCATTATTGTTTATATGTACACAATTTAGTCTTAATGCTTTCAAATACATTTTGTTATGGTTCAATCCAATTGGTAACACTACTTTCGAGGAGCACTATACTTGGTTGTCATTTACCATGCCTGAAGCCACTGCCACAATCTCTGGCCTTTAAAGTGCATTCTCTGACCACTGACAGTCCCGTGGAGATCATAGCCAGGACCCCAGGCTGGTTCCAGGGTCAAGCAGCCTGCAACAGTATCTGTAGCTACCCACTGGTACAGTCTCAGAATGATGGAGTAGGATAGCAAGTAAAAGACTTCAAATGCAAATGAAGTCATCTTGAGCCCTTAATTTCAGTTCCAACTATCCCATGAGTATGTCAAGAAGAATAAGGGCCAAGGAACATCTGTGACTCATGGAAGGGGTGGCTGCTTCTTAGAATTGGCACATGGGCCCTACCTGCCACACTTCCTGAATATACACAGACAGCCTTGAGGTACAAAGTGCGTGGCCAAGACACAGATGATAAAGAGCCAAAAAAGAACAGGGTGGGTTTCTTTGGCCCACACCTTATTCACTGGCCCTTCATTTTTCATGTCACTAGCAGTGCCCAGTTGTCTTACTGCTTTATGTTTTTTATCATTTACTTAATAAAAATTGTTGATAGAGTCGAAACTATACAGAAATTCTATACCTAAAACAACATTTATTGGACTTGTGTGAATATAAAGTTTTTTTGTTTGATAGACAATTTTAATGTTTTCATAATAATCAGTTTTCCCTTTTACTTATAAGGTTGGATTATTTTTTAGTATTTGTAATAAAACTATTGTTGCTTTAACCATTGTAAACTATGCTTTCTAATGTAACCATATATTTTTAAATAAACTTAATATGGCTTGTAATTTAGTATACATGTGTCACACAGACAAAAAGCACATGTTTCATACATACTTAACGCCTTTTTATTTCAGGACCTTTAAAGCTTAGAAATATAATACAATCTACATTGAAACTCACCTGGCAGACTAAAGCCTAATGTGTAACTACCAAGTCCTATGAGATAGAAGAGATGTCATCACAGAGTTCCATGGCACATAAAAATGGTCAGTTACTTCTGAAGCATGCCACCAAGGTCACATATCTTAAATCTACCACTTCAGCTGACATTTAATGGGACCAATCACATTGACTGCTCTGATCTGTAGGAAGCTCCTCAGTGTTCATCCCACTAAATCATAGACTGTTTATTAGTCAGTTTTTCTATCACTGTAACAAAATGCATGAGGAAAAAGTTGATAGAGAAAAGATTTATTTAGGCTCATGATTTTAGAGGTTTCTGTCCATAGTCACTTAACTTACCTGTGTTTCTGGGTCTGGTGATAAGGCGTCATGGCAGAAGGGCATGGCAGAGAAAGCTGCCATGTTTTTGACAGCCAGGAAGCAGAGAGAGAGAGAGAGAACAAGAGACCAGGATAAGCTATAACCTTCAAAGACACACCCCCAGCAACCACTTCTTTTAATCAGGCCCCATCTCCAAAAGGCACATTCCAGCGATGTGTTAGTCTATCAATGAGATTAGTACCTTCCTGATCAAACCATCTCTCCATAGCACAACAGCTAGGGAGCAAGCCTTAAGCGCGTGAGCCTTTGGGATCATTTTATATCCAAGCCATAGCAGCCTGTAACAATTGGTGATTAGTTATGTCATATTCTAATATTATATAAGATAGTGAAATTTTCACTACAGCTTTTTAAGGACAGTAAATATTTACCAACCTCAAGTTTTTTTACCCTCTGAGGAGAAGGGAGAACACAAATAGCTTTTTTTTTTCTTTATTCATTTATTCATATGTGCATACATTGTTTGGGCCATTTCTCCCCACTGCCCATACCCCCTCCCTGTCTGCCACACCCACCTCACTTCCAGGCAGAAGCTCTTCTACCCTTTTCTCCAATTTTCTTGAAGAGTAGACATAAGCAATAACAAGAAAGACATAGTGTTTTTGCTAGTTAAGATAAAGATAGCTATACAGAGATTCCTAGCATTGCTTCCATGCACAAGTGTATTACAAACTGAATTGATTCATCTCTACCTGACCTCTTCACTACTTCCTGGTCATCTTCCCATATTGCCCTTGCCAACACCTGTTGGTGGTGGTGTTTTTGATGATAGCTATTTTAACAGGGGTGAGGTGGAATCTGTGTGGTTTTGATTTGCATTTCTTTATGGCCAGAGATGGTGAACACTTTTTCTTGTGATTTGAATTTCTTCTTTTGAAAAAGTTCTGTTTACTTCAGTTGCCCATTTCTTTATTGCTCATTGATTTGGGAGAACTTTAGTTTTTTGAACTCCCTGTATATTCTGGTTCTCAGTTCTTTGTCTGATGGAGAGCTGGCAAGTATTTTCTCCCACTCTGTGTGTGGTCTCTTCAGTTTAGAGACCATTTCTTTTGTTGTGCAGAAGCTTTTTAATTTTATGTAGTCCCATTTGTCCATCCTTTCTCTTAGTTGCTGAGCTGCTGGAGTTCTACTGAGGAAGTCCTTTCCTATACCTATTACTTCCAGAGTGTTTCCTGCTCTTTTCTGTACTAACTTCAGAGTTCAGGTCTGATATTAAGGTCTTTGATCCACTTTGAGCTGATACTAATACAGGGTGATAAACATAGATCTAGTTTCAGTTTTTGGCAGATGGATAATCACTTTTCCCAGCAACATTTGTTGAAGAGGCTGTCTTTTCTTCATATGTTTGTGGTGCCTTTATCAAAACTAAGGTGGGCATAGCTGTGTGGATTCATATCCGGGTCCTCTATTCTGTTCCACTGGTCTTCATGTCTGTTTTTGTGCCAGTATCATGCTATTTTTATTGCTCTTGCTTTGTAATATAGTTTGAACTCGGGTATTGTGATACCTCCAGCGTTGCTCTTTTTGCTGAGCATTGCCTTGGCTATTTGTGGCCTCTTGTGTTTCCAAATGAACTTTAGGGTAGATTTTTCAATGTCTGTGATGAAAGTCATTGGGATTTTGATGGGAATTGCACTAAACATGTAGATTGCTTTTGGTAGTATAGCCATTTTTATTATGTTGATTCTACCAATCCATGAGCACGAGAGATTTTTCCACCTTCTGTAGTCTTCCTCGATCTCTTTCATCAGGGGTTTGTTGTTCTCCTTATAGAGGTCATTCACATCCTTTGTTAAGTTTACTCCTAGGTATTTGATTTTTTTTTTTTGAAGCTATTGTAAATGGGATTGTTTCCATATATTCTTTCTCAATCACAAACAGCTTTTAAACATCATTCTAAGTTCTTTAAATTAAAATTCTTGAATTAACTTATTGTGAAGTTTCTTTGTTAGCTAGTCAATTCCTGTTAGTTCTAGTAAATTGACGAGAACCCACTGAAGTTTTCAAAACTTTAATAACTTAGTCACACCGGAAACCAAGCTAAAAAAGCAAAGTATGTGCTTGTTGAATTGATTAGGATTTCTCCTGTGTTTGGGTGCGCCCCCACACACACTCTGCTTTGGCTCCATGGGATCATATGAAAGGTTAAATCTCCCAAGAGTTATGTCTGCATTGTAGGTATAGTCGGGAACCTCTTTGGATAAAAACACATCTCCTTAGTGGGTTTTATTTGGGGATTTTTATTTTGTTTTGTTTTAGTTTTGTTTTTTAAAATAGGTTTTTTATATGTTGCCCAGGCTGGTCTTGAACACTTGGTTCCAGAGATCCTACTGTCTCAGCTCCAAGAAGCTGAGACAATGGGTTTGCACCATGATGCCCAGTTCACGGGTGTTTTTTTTTTAAATCTCTTTGGGCTAAGGGCTCAAAATCCACACACTGCTAATGGACTATGGTAAATCTCCATCTCTGTGTAAAGATCACATAAAGTAACTCAAAAAATTCTCAAAAACATTCAAAAATAACTCCCATTAACACATTACCTCAATTTGTGTTTTAAAGTAGGCCAAAGAGTCGATGAAAGAAACTCAGCTTAATGCAGTTAGCATTGCTTTTTATGAACCTTTCTAGTAACATAGTGGAAATCACTCTTAAACACTTTTAGGTACCAGCAATTTCAGATGTCCTAAGCCTTGGGTAGAGTCCTGGTTACTCTAAGATCAGAGCAGTCAAGAGGACGAGAAAGACACAAGACAGAGACT